GTAAAACGCTGGCATTTTTTGGACTTTTTTTGACCAAAAAAATTATTTTTTTGGGTAAAGAAATGCTAAAAACTGCAAACGCGGAAAAAAACGCAGAAAAATGCGGAAAAAATAAAAAAAAAAAAAAAAAAAAAAAAAAAAAAAAAAAAAAAAAAAAGAAAAAAAAAAAAAAAAAGAAAAAAAAAAAAAAAAAAAAAAAAAAAAAAAAAAGAAAAAAAAGAAAAAAAAATAAATAAAAAAAAAATAAAAAATAAAAAAAAAAAAAAAAATAAAAAAACTCTAAACGCCGCTAAACGCTAATGCAAAAACGCTAAAAAAGCCAAAAAAAACTCACATTTTTAATGTGACTTTACACAGCATTACCAGCGTTATCAAAACATCCCGTGTGCATGGCGACTAATGACTAAGCGTGTGTTCGTGTGAAACGTGTCTTCTGCTCCTCTGTCCTGTCTTGGAGCTGTCATGTTCTTATATTGCATGTAAAAGGTTCCAGTAAAGGATTTCATCCACCACATTGCTGTTTGTTAAGCCAATCATTCTGGGTTTTTTTTTTAAGTGAACACAAATAGAATCTATAAATATTATTTTCTGTATTATAATGGGTTTTTACCATAGTCTGTTCACAATATAGAAAAACGTTCATTACTCTTTTTCTCTAACGCCATGCATCGCGACGCTGTACTGCGTGCTGCAGTGCGCTACGACTCAAACATTCAAAATCAGCAGGCGATCAAATACTTATTTCCTTCACTGTATATATATTTCTTTCTTTCTTTTTTTTAAAATGTAGCTTGTATCTATACACTATACATTTCATTCTCACGGTCACTGGCCTACCTAAAAATATCTGTTTTTAACCACTTCCCATCCGGCCCATGTACATAAACGGGAGCAGTGCAGGAGCAGGTTGCCATTCATAAACGGCTCCCACATTTACAGCCTGTGCGCGCTTCCTGGGAGCACGCGGCACCGATAGCTGTACATCTGTGTGAGGGTCCCGATCATGTGATCACTGATTGGCCAATCAGTGATCACATGAACAGTAGTAAGCAAGATGTCACTTCTGATATCATTGCTTACTACTTGTGAAATCTGTGAAGGATCACAGAGGTCACACGGTACAGGGCTATTCACAAAGTGAAACAAAAAACAAGAAGCTCACCAACCTTGCGCATTACCTCAGTAACAGAATTTATTAATAAAAGATAGGTACTCACAAACAACGAATAAAATCAGGCATGTAGTCCTCAAAGGGACTTCAAAGATAAGAAGCCAGCGCGAATCCCATCATGGGGGTAGACACTCAGTATAGCTGACGCGTTTCGAAGGCTATGCCTTCTTCCTTAGAGCTCAGTGCAGCCCCATCAATGCCGCCTATCAGTGCCCATCAGTGCAGTTTATCAGTGCCTAGCAACAAGAAAAAAAAAATAATTTATAAAACACAGGTGCAACGTAAAACGCAATGCAGAAACTGCATAGGAGTGAACCTAGCCTTGCTCTGTTATTCTTTTCATGGAACTGTGAGTTTAATGGGAACAGTCGGCTGGACTGATACAGGGAAGGCTTCACTCAGCTGAACTCCTGAGATGTATTCATGAGCCCTGACAAGTGTTGTTGCTGATGTTGTATTTCTTGTCTTCATTGATCGCTCACATTTCATTGATCAGTGTACATCCATTGATCAGTGTACATCCATTGATCAGTGTACATCCGTTGATCAGTGTACATCTGTTGATCAGTGTACATCCATTGATCAGCGTACATCTGTTGATCATTGTACATCCATTGATCAGTGTACATCCATTGATCTGCTCCCATAGGCATTGCTTTGTGTGTCCTGTGAGGTCTCTACTGCATCAGATTCGTCCAGTTCTAGGTGTCTGGGAACACGTGGGAAGAGATTAATATTCTCCGCACATTGCCCAACACGGCAACTCAATGTAATAATGAGGCAACCGGTCACAGGGGGTACGTCTTCCCAATCAGATATTCCATTGACGGACCAATTCCACCAACAATCATCGGGAACGTCTACACCATGGTGGTCCCTGATCGTGCTATTTGTATGCCTTGATATAAAGAGTTTGTTCCTCCCAGAATCTATCCTGATCAATTCCCTTCGTAGTGCACTGTATAAGAGTTTTACATTGACTGCATGTGTACTGAAATGGACCGAGCATCAGATGTATGATCTCATGTAAGGCATGCTAAGTAAGTGTCACGCTTCCAGGTATTTATTACCACAGTGCTCCCCTGACACTGCCTTCATCTGCTTCTTTCTCCAGGAGGGTGGCACCATCTTTGTTCCAACATCATCCAGGGTCACCATCTACTTTCTGGACTGAGCGATGACACATCCATATCAACCCTGCTGTCTGTGCAGTTTTTGACTGTGTTCACAAATGTCTGACACAGATCAGCCCCTGCTGCAGTCTTTCTCACCCCGTGACTTGTTACAAGAATACAGTGTACAGTCTGATCACTGGGAGAAGGGAGACTGAGGAAATGCTTCCTCCTGCCTGCAGCAGACTGATGGCATTATCTCAGCTTAGGCAAAATCACTGGACTGGAGCTCAAGGATGGCTTTTAATAGTAAAAGGTGGATTTTTTTAACAATAGTACTGCTACCATATTTTGTGACATGTCAGTCATCTACTTGCTTATTTAAAAGTTACTGGAAGACATACTTAAAATAGGCCCCCTCTGCCCTAAGATATTAAGATTTGCCAATTGCAGATACATAGGATTGGGTTCAATCATAAATATCCAGAAACAATCTATATATAAAAAAATCATAAAAATATCACAAATATCTAGACCCATTCATAAAAATATCACAAATATCCAGACCCAATCTATATATAAAATATCATAAAAAAAATATCACAAATATCCAGACCCAATTTACATAAAAAATCATAAATATATCACAAATATCCAAACCCATTCATAAAAATATCACAAATATCCAGACCCAATCTATATAAAAATATCATGAACATATCACAAATATCCAGATCCATTCATAAAAATATTATAAATATCCAGATCCAATCTATATAATAAATCATAAAAATATCACAAATATCCAGACCCAATCTATATATAAAATATCATAAAAAAATATCACAGATATCCAGATCCATTCATAAAAAATATCACAATTATTCAGACCCAATCTATAAAAAAAAAGCATAAAAATATCACAAATATCCGGACCCAATCTATATAAAAATATCATGAACATATCACAAATATCCAAAATCCAAATCCATTCATAAAAATATCACAAATATCCAGACCCAATCTATATAAAAAATATCATGAACATATCACAAATATCCTGACCCATTCGTAAAGATATTATAAATATCCAGATTTAAATCATTAAAAAAATCACAAATTTCCAGACCAAATCTTATATAAAAAAAAAATATCTATATAAATATGAAAAATATCCAGACCCAATCTATATAAAGAAAGAAACCAGGCCCAGTCTACATGCTACAAACAAAACAAAAAACATTATTACCAAAGTCTGTTTATAGATTCACTATTTTAGATGAAATTAGGTTGTTAGTCTCTCAAAAGCTGAGAAGTGATATTAAAGTTTGTTTGGCTAAAATAAAATAAGAGGTTATACTTACCTGTTCTGTGCAATGATATTACAAAGCGGTTAATTACCTCCTCTTCTGTGCGCTCTTTCTTTCTGGGTGCTGAGGGGGGAACTGTGCAGGAGCACTCCTGAGCCGGGCTGTGCGCCTCCATAGACACACACAGTGGCCTGGTCACAACCCTCCTCCTCTTGCCAGGATTTGACTGACAGCAGTAGGAGCCTATGGCTCCCGCTGTTCTCAGAGACCCCTGTGAGGCCAAGAAGGGGGAGCAGCACTGAATTGTGAGAGGACTCAGGTAAGAGTTTAGGGATGGGGGATGGATGGGGGCAGTTAGTGGGGTGTGTTTTACCCTAATGGAGGGAATGCATTAATGCAATGGTCTCCAAACTGCGGCCATTTGCTAGACTTTATCCGGCCCTTCAGGTAATAGTCATCCCACTGATATGAGGCACTATTCCTTCCACCGACACCAACAGTGCGGCATAATTCCTGACACTAATAGTGGAGCACTATTCCTCCCACTGATACTAATGATGGGGCACTATTCCTCCCACTGACACCAATGATGGGGCACTTTTCCTCCCACTGACACCAACGATGGGGCACTATTCCTCCCACTGACACCAATGATGGGCACTATTCCTCCCACTGTCACCAACGATGGGGCAATATTCCTACCACTGACACCAACGATGGGGCAATATTCCTACCACTGACACCAATGATGGGGCAATATTCCTCCCACTGATACTAATGATGGGGCACTATTCCTCCCACTGACACCAACGATGGGGCACTTTTCCTCCCACTGACACCAACGATGGGGCACTATTCCTCCCACTGACACCAATGATGGGCACTATTCCTCCCACTGTCACCAACGATGGGGCAATTATTCCTACCACTGACACCAACGATGGGGCAATATTCTACTACCACTGACACCAATGATGGGGCAATATTCCTCCCACTGATACCAATGATGGGGCACTATTCCTCCCACTGACACCAACGATGGGGAATATTCCTCCCACTGATACCAATGATTGGGCACTATTCCTCCCACTGATACCAATGATGGGACACTATTCCTCCCACTGATATTCCCAACGATGGGGCACTATTCCTCCCACTGACACCAATGATGGGGCACTATTCCTCCCACTGACACCAAGACACCCATTGGGGCACTATTCCTCCCCACTGATACCAATGATTGGGCACTATTCCTCCCACTGATACCAATGATGGGACACTATTCCTCCCCACTGACACCAATGATGGGACACTATTCCTCCCACTGACACCAATGATGGGGCACTATTCCTCCCACTGACACCAATGATGGGGCAATATTCCCCCACTGATACCAATGATGGGACACTATTCCCCACTGATATCAATGATGGGGCACTATTCCTCCCACTGACACCAATGATGGGGCACTATTCCTCCCACTGATATCAATGATGGGGCACTATTCCTCCCACTGACACCAATGATGGGGCACTATTCCTCCCACTGACACAATGATGGGACACTATTTCCTCCCACTGACACCAATGATGGGACATATTCCTCCCACTGACACCAATGATGGGGCACTATTCCTCCCACTGACACCAATGATGGGGCACTATTTCCCCCACTGATACAATGATGGGACACTATTCCTCCCACTGATCACCAATGATGGGGCACTATTCTTCTTACTGATATCAATGATGGGACACTATTCCTCTCCACTGACACCAATGATGGGGCACTATTCTCCCACTGATGATGGGGCAATTCCTCCACATATGATGGGGCACTATTCCTCCCACTGACACCAATGATGGGGCACTATTCCTCCCACTGATATCAATGATGGGGCACTATTCCTCCACTGACACCAATGATGGGGCACTATTCCTCCCACTGACACAATGATGGGGCACTATTCCTCCCACTGACACCAATGATGGGCACTATTCCTCCCACTGACACCAATGATGGGACACTATTCCTCCACTGACACCAATGATGGGGCACTATTCCCCACTGATATCAATGATGGGACATATTCTCCCCATGACACCAATGATGGGGCACTATTCTCTCCCACTGATATCAATGATGGGACACTATTCCTCCCACTGACACCAATGATGGGGCATATTCCTTTAGACTGACATACCAAATATCAATGATGGGGCACTATTCCTCCCACTGCTCACCAATGATGGGGCACTATTCCTCCCACAATGATATCAATGATGGGGCACTATTCTCCCACTGACACAATGATGCACTATTCTCCCATGACACCTATTCCTCCCACTCCTCCCACTGACTATTCCTCCCACTGAACCAATGATGGGGCACTATTCTCACTGATATCAACTGACATGGTGACCAATGATGGGGCACTATTCCTCACCACTGATATAAATGATGGGACATATTCCTCCAATGATATCAGGGCACTATTCCTCCCACATACCAATGATGGGGCACTATTCCTCCTCACACTGACACAATGATGGGGCACTAATCCTCCCCACACCAATGATGGGGCGGGCACTATTCCCAATGACAAATGATGGGACACTATTCCTCCTACTGACACCATGATCAAACATGACACCAATGATGGGGCACTATTCCAACCACTGTCACCAATTGATGGGGCACTATTCCCACTGTCACCAATGATGGGGCACTATTATTTCTCCCACTGACCTCAATGATGGGGCACTATTCCTCCCACTGACTTCAATGATGGGACACTATTCCTCCCACTGACACCAATGATGGGACACTTATTCCTCCCTCTGACCCCAATGATGGGGTACTATTCCTCCCACTGACACCAATGATCGGGCACTATTCCTCTCACTGATACCAATGATGGAGCACTATTCCTCCACTGACACCAATGATGGGGCACTTCACTGACACTATTCCTCCCCACTGACACCAATGGGGGCACTATTCCTCCCACTGACACCAATGATGGGGCACTATTCCTCCCACTGACACCGATGATGGGACACACTATTCCTCCCACTGATACCAATGATGGGGCACTATTCCTCCCACTGATATCAATGATGGGGCACTATTCCTCCCACTGACACAATGATGGGGCACTATTCCTCCCACTGACACCAATGATGGGGCACTATTCCTCCACCTACTGGCAATGTTTATTCTCACTGATGTTTGGCCCAGGACATTGTTTTTACCCGCACTGGCCACAATCTGCCCCCCCCCCCCTGAAGTCTGAAGGACAGTGAAGTGGCCCTTTGTTTGTAAAGTTTGGAGACCCCTGCATTCATGTAAAAAAACAGTTCACCTTTAGAGCCACTTTAACTAAAAGTTGATTAAGCTGGACAAACAGATTAAATTTGAATTTTGCTAGGCATGACTTCCTAACTTTCTCTATAACACATCTGTAAGGCTGTGCACAAAACAATACAAAGAATACAGTTTCCAATATAAAAAAATCACATTAGAAGAATTTTGAAACATTAGGAACCACTCCGCATAAATTTCAGCAAGATAAGCAGACTGGTGACTAGTGATGCTCCTTCACTACCAAGGCACCAGCCAGTGACCAAGCATTTATTGCTGGACTGCAATGGAGAAAAGAAGGGTCACCCAAACTGACTACATTGCCTGGCAGGGGTGACTGCATTACAAAACTGGCTGAGCAGATCTGGAAATATTTTGCTATGTAAACCAAAATTCCTAAGTATTTTATACAGCTATGTACATAAATTCCAGCTTTAAGTTGTATTTAAGAGAATATATAAGACTAGCTCAACATGCCAAATTAAATTTCCTTCTTCATCCCACAATTCCATCATGTCTAATCTGAGGAGGAGGATGACAGGTGAGGCAGGAGGCATGCATAATATTCACTGCCACCGATTGTGATTGTCCTGATTGTCCATACAGCCATCACCAACACACATCATTCAGGCCTGATCTGATCGGCAATCATTTTTTTCTCCATTCATCTCTCAGTTTGTAAGGCAGCAGAAGTATGCCGCTGTTTGATGCCCAGAGATCAAGACTTCCATTATAATTCATTTGGTGTATTTAACCACTGACCCACCTCCCACTGATCTGGATGATGGAGAGGGAATCCTGCTGAGCTCTGCGGCCCTACATCTGAAATCTTTGTTCCTTAATTAAAGCAGCCCTCCACCCAACAGATAGTGTCCTTCCATGGCTACACCCCCCCTCCAGTCTGAAATTACAAATCTGATAGCCCCCCCCCCCCACACACACACACACACACACACCTCTTCTCTCTCCACTGTATCTTCCTCTTCTCTTTCTTTCTTTCTTTCTTCTATCTTTCTCCCTCTCCCCCCCTCTCTCTCTCTCCCCCCTCCCCCCCTCCTCCCTCTCCCTCTCCTCTCCTCCTCACACTTTCCCTCTCTCCTCTCCTCCTTCTCATGCTCCCTCTCTCTTTTCTTCTCTCCCCTTCTTCTCAAACCCTGTCTCGACTCCATATGTGTTATCTCGCTCTCTCCTCTCCTCCTTCTCATGCTCCTTCTCCCCCTTCCTCCTCCTTCTCACACATTCTGTCTGAACCCATCATGTTCTCGCTCCTCCTTCTCTTTCTTTCTTTCTTTCTTTCTTTCTTTCTTTCTTTCTTTCTTTCTTTCTTTCTTTCTTTCTTTCTTTCTTTCTTTCTTTCTTTCTTTCTCCTCCATCTCATGCTTTCCATTTTTGCCCCTCTTCTAATGCTCTTCTCTCGGATTCTCTCCCTCCTTCTCACACACTGTCTCAACTCCTCATGCTTTCTCTCACTTCCGTCTCACACCCCTTCATCTCTCCTCCCCTCTCTCTGTCTTCTCTCTCCTCTTTCTCACTCTTCTTATTTTTTTTCTCTCTTCTATCCCTATCTCTCTCTCCTCCTTCTCATGCTACCCCCCCTCTCTCTCTCGTTCTTTCTCCTCTCCTCCTGCTCATGCCCTTTTCTCTTCCTTCTTCTCACACACACTGACTCAACTCCTCACCTTCTCTCTCCTTCTCGTGTTCTTTCTTTCTTTCTTTCTTTCTTTCTTTCTTTTTCTTTCTTTCTTTCTTTCTTTCTTTCTTCTTTCTTTCTTTCTTTCTTTCTTTCTTTCCTTCCTTCCTTCCTTCCTTCCTTCCTTCCTTCCTTCCTTCCTTCCTTCCTTCCTTCTTCTCTCCTCCTTCTCATGCTTTCCATTTTTGCCCATCTTCTAATGCTCTTCTCTCTGATTCTCTCCATCCTTCTCACACACTGTCTCAACTCCTCATGCTTTCTCTCACTTCCGTCTCACACCCCTTCATCTCTCCTCCCCTCTCTCCCTCTCTTCTCTCTCCTCCTTCTCTCTCTCCCTCTCTTATCTCTCTCTTCTATCCCTATCTCTCTCTCTCTCTCTTTCTCTGTTCTCCCTCCTTATTTTCAGTCTCCCTCTCTCCTCTCCTCCTTCTCATGCTCCCTCTCTCTTTTATTCTATCCCTTCTTCTCACTCTCTGTATTGCACCCCCCCCCCCTCTCTCTCTCTCTCTCTCTTTCTCTCTCTCTCTCTCCTTTTCACACACTTTCTTTCTCCTCTCCTCCTGTCCTGCTCATGCCTTTTTCTCTTCCTTCTTCTCACACACTCTGACTAAACTCCACACCTCCTCTCTCTCTTTCTTTCTTTCTTTTCTTTCTTTCTTTTTCTTTCTTTCTTTCTTTCTTTCTTTCTTTCTTTCTTTCTTTCTTTCTTTCTTTCTTTCTTTCTTCCTTCCTTCCTTCCCACACACACTGACTCAACTCCTCACCTTCTCTCTCCTTCTCATCTTTCTTTCTTTCTTTTTCTTTCTTTCTTTCTTTCTTTCTTTCTTTCTTTCTTTCTTTCTTTCTTTCTTTCTTTCTTTCCCCTCTCTCTCTCTCTTCCTTCTCTCTTCTTTCTCTCTCTCTCCCCTCCTCCTTCTCTCTCTCTCTTGTGTTCCCTCTCCTTCTCACACTGTCTCACTCCTCATGCTCGCTCTCTTCTATCTCCTCTTTTTCGCTCACCCTGTTTTTTTTTCTCCTCTCCCCCTCATTTTCTCTCCTTTCTCTTCCCTCCTTCTGTCTCTCCCTTTTTTTTCTGTTTGCCAACTCATGTTCTATTTTCCTCCATTCTACATCTTCTTATGAAAACATAGTTGTGAGTGTGCGGATATTCCCAGCATGTGGGAGCGTCATTAATCATGTCAGACACCACACATCTATCTTCTCATCTCTAGCAGACAGTAAAATAGTTAAACACCTCAGACTGAACATGTCACCAAATCAATACATAAGTGAGACTATTACAGGTCCTTAGCGTCCACTTATTGTGACCATCATTACAGTATGGATATTGATCCTCTATAACAGGTTTACCTCTGTGGGGTTATTTTTGCACAATTGAAAACATCTAGAATACACAACCGATGTATTGGATCATTTATTTACTATGTGTTTTTTTTAATATATGAAATTCTGCTTAATTTACTTCTAAAACTGGAGAGTGCAAAATCTGATGCAGCTCTGCATAGAAACCAATCAGCTTCCAGGTTTTATTGTCAAAACTTAATTGAACAAGCTGAAGTTAGAAGCTGATTGGCTGCCATGCATAGCCATACCAGATTGTGAGTGCTCCGGTTTTAGTAAATCCCTGTCACGGTGTATGTGAACTCTAGCAAATGATTTCTCTTATTTGCTCACTTTTGGTCTGTTAAATATTTCCTTAAATTTCAAGGTGTTATGAGCAGGGCCATGGATAAGAGGGTACCACCAGTCCTCCTGTATGGGGCCCAGGCTAGCAGGAGGGCCCATGCAGCTGGATGAATCAGATGTGGGCAGGGAGGGTGATCGGCATGACTGGGGGCAATTACTGGAACCGATCCCCTGTATGGCTCTTCTGCAGCAGCTGAAACTCGGCTTCTTCTCCTCGCCCTCCTGCTGGCTTTCAGCTGCTGCATAGAAGAGCCAAACAGGGGATCAGTTCCAGTAACTGAGCCCCACAATCACCACACCGATCACCCTCCCTGTGCACCATACATTTCCCCCTGTGTGCCCCCATCCCTGCAGTGCTGCCGGCTTCCCTCCTCTCCTCACCGGCAGCTGCAAGCATACAATAGGATCCTTCAGGATGGAGAGTGGGGGAAATATGTCACATTTATCAGCCCCTTCCTTCCCTGAATGAACACAGTTAATGATTGGTACCTATCACTCAGTGTGTTCACTCATAACTGATGCAGAGTAAACGGTGCACTTTTTTTTTTTGGGGGGGGGGGGGGCTGTCAGGTTGGCTGTATGGGGCCCCGTGGTTTCTAACAGCAGCCCTGGTTATGAAGTCTGCTTAAATCTGTTCTGTGGACTACGGAGCACCTCCCCATGTGTTATGTAGGAAGGGGTTCTGTATTCTTACCCTAGGGTGACAACATTTCCTCTATTCATTCAGAACAGTGAGAGAATGTTGTTACCTTAGGACAGGAAATGTGTTACTGGCAGGATCACCAGGTAAAAAAAAGGAGAAAAGCCCTGAAAAAAAGAAAACAAATCAGCCCACAACATCTTCAGACTGGAAAGTTACAATGCTTTATATTTTTGTTCCTGGGTTCAGACAGAGATTAGAGATCACCGGGGTGCACTTTGTGATAACCTAGCAAGGCCAATCTGGGCAGAGTGACAGGTTCTTTTAATACCCTCCTTTTTTGCTGGGACAAAACCTGTGTTACTTACCTGCAGCAGGTAAAGAAAACTGGGTTTCCTCTCTTCCTAGACAGGACTATGTTGTGTGGCAGAGCTGTGTAAATCTCAAGACAGGATGGACAGAAATACAAAAACTTTGGCATGTAAAACAGCCACAAAATACTCCAAACAGTTATAACATTGTGGCCACCCACCATAAGGGGTTGAGGCATGGACTCCAAATACACCTCCAAAGGTATGCTGTACTATCTGGCACCAAGCCGCTGGTAGCAGATCATTTAAGTCCTGTAAGTTGAGAGGAGGAAAATGTTTTTATGTGACTTTTTGATACGTTTGTGCCTGAGATGATGCAAAGAACGCTGAGCAGATTCTGTTTGTTTAACGAATTGTGTCAGTGATTCAGTCTGAATAGGCAAGAAAAAAAAAAAAGTTGAGAGGAGGGACCTCCATGGATTGGACTTGTTTTCCAGCACATCCCACAGATGCTCAGTTGAATTGATATCTAGGGAATTTGGTGGCCAAGTCAACAATTCAAACTTGTTGTGTTTCTCAAACCATTCTTGAATGCATCAGACCAAGCCATCTTCTTCCATTGCTCCGTGCTCCAGTTCTGATGCTGACGAGCCCATTGTAGGTACATTTGGCCGCAGACAGTCGCCATGACCAGTTTGTGACTATGTAGCCCCATACACAACAAACTACAACACACACTGGGGTTGATTTACTAAAACTGGAGAGTGCAAAATCTGGTGCAGGTGTGCACGGTAGCCAATCAGCTTCTAACTTCAGCTTGTGCAACTAGGCTTTGACAAAAAGTCCTGGAAGCTGATTGGTTTCTGGGCACAGCTCCACCACAGTTTGCACTCTTCAGTTTTAGTAAATCACACCGTGTGTTCTGACACCTTTCTATCAGAACCATCATTCACTTTTCCAGCACTTTGACCTATAGTGGCTCTTCCATTGGATCGGACTACATGGGCCATCCTTTGCTCCCCATGTACATCAGTGAGCCTTTGCTGCCCATGACCCTTTTTCTGGTTCACTGGTTCCCCTTCCTTGGACCACTTTTGGTCAGTCCTGACCACTGCAGACCAGGAACATCCTACATGAGCTACAGTTTGGGAGTTTTTCTGACCAAGCTGCCTAACCGTTATTGTCAAAGTTGCTCAAATCCCTACACTTGCTCATTTTTTTTTCTTCTTTGAACACATCAACTTCAGGGACAACATGTTCACTTTCTGCCTAATTATCCCACCCACTTTCAGGTGCTTAATATTTCACACTGTCAGTGGTCATATTGTAATAGCTGGCAGGTTAATTGGCTCCTGTCTAAATTGTCCCTAGTATGTGTATGTGTGAATGTGAGTTAGGGACCTTAGATTGTACACCCCTTGAGGGTTAGGGACTGATGTGAGTGTACAATATATATGTAAAGCGCTGCATTAATTGATGGCGCTATATACATTCTTGTAATAAATAAAATGGCTGTATTTGTGTATTTAGCTGTTTGCTCAGAGTTCAGCTTTGATTTTTATTACCCCTTTGGATGTAGGAGAATCTGAGAATTTCCATTGGTGCTATTCTCCTTTCTTCCTCTTGATGGCGCAGCAGAGCCACTCAGCAGCCCCTCATTCAGCAGCAGTGCTGTGACTCTTGTTCTCATCTCTAGGATCTGGATTGGACACATTGCAGCTCATGAAGCTCAGGGGCTCGGAGTTTGCTGTGGCAGCAGAGGAAGCAGACTGCCCTGGTCAGCTCAGAGCCTGTGTGGCCAGCAGGACCTCCACTTGGATGATGTGAAGCTCTGGAGGAGTTCTGTCATCTGAAGGCACTTTGCAGCCGCCTGAGACTGAGAGTAGAGATGTCTGGGGGGAACAGCTCCTCAGTGGACAGCTTGGCAGGGAACAGGTGCCTGGCAGGCAATGAGGAGCAGTTTCAGCACTATGGACAGTTCACTCCCAGCGTCTCCATCCTGCTGGCTGTGCTGATGATTTGATGGTGCTGGCCACGGTGCTGGGCAATGCTCTGGTCATCCTGGCTTTTGTGGTGGACAGAGGGCTCCGGACACAAGGCAATTTCTTCTTTCTCAACTTGGCCATTGCTGACTTCCTGGTGGGTGAGTGTCTGCACCCCCCATGGGGTGCTCCTATTCATATATCATACACTTGTTCTTAACATACTGCTGACCTTATGGCTTCTAGACTTAAATTCTCCATAAAGACCCACCAACCTTATAGGACCCCCTCAATAAGCATGCATTTCTAATAAAGACTCTCCAGAAAATGTGAAGGTTAACACATACCTAGTGTCCATATATTCTTCACAAAGACTCACCATGGGGTGCTCCAATACATATATCATGCACTTGTTCCTAAAATACTGCTGACCTTATGGCTTCTAGACTTAAATTCTCCATAAAGACCCACCAGCCTTATAGGACCCCCTAAATAAGCATGCATTCCTAATAAATACCCTCCAGACAACTTGAAGTCTTACAGAAACCCTATTGTCCATGAAAAATTCATAAAGACTCTCCAGAAAATGTGAAGGTTTATAGATACACCTAGTGTCCATATATTCTTCACAAAGACTCACCATGGGGTGCTCCAATACATATATCACGCACTTGTTCCTAACTTACTGCTGACCTTATGGCTTCTAGACTTAAATTCTCCATAAAGACCCACCAGCCTATAAGGACCCCCTCAATAAGCATGCATTCCTAATAAAAACCCTCCAGACCATGTGAAGTCTTACCGAAACCCTATTGTCCATGCAAAATTCATAAAGACTCTCCAGAAAAATGTGAAGGTTTATAGATACACCTAGTGTCCATATATTCTTCACAAAGACTCACCATGGGGTGCTCCAATAATATATCAGGCACTTGTTCTTAACATACTGCTGACCCTTATGGCTTCTAGATCTAAATTCTCCTCTTTATTAGGAATGCATGCTTACTGAAAGGGTCCTCTAAAACTGGTGGGTTTTCACCAGCTTTAGAGGACCCTCTCAATAAGCATGCATTCCTAATAAAGACCCTCCAGACAATGTGAAGCCTTACAAAAACCCTATTGTCCATGCAAAATTCATAAGGACTCTCCAGAAAATGTGAAGGTTTACAGATGCACCTAGTGTCCATATACTCTTCACAAAGACTCACCATGGGGTGCTCCAATATATATATCATGCACTTGTTCTTAACATGTTGCTGACCTCAGAGCCTCTAGCCATAAATTCTCCAGAAGGACCCACCAGCTTAATAGGACCCTATCAATGAGCATACATTCCTCATAAAGACCTACCAGACATTGCAGTGCTCTTAAAGGAACCCCAATATCCTTACATTCTCCATAAAGACCCAACAGACATTGTAAAGCTCTTACAGGAACCCCGATGTCCTTCAATTCTCCATAAAGACTCACCAGACAATGTGAAGTCTTACAGAAACCCCAATGTCCTTAAGTTCTCCATAAAGACCCACCAGACAATGTGAGGCCTTACAGGAACCCCAATATCCATGTAAAATTCATAAAGACTCACCAGACAATGTGAAGCTTTACAAATACGCCTAGTGTCCATACATTCTTCACAATGACTCACCATGGGGTGCTCCTATACATATATCATGCACTTGTTCTTAATATGCTACTGATCTCAGAGCCTCTAGCTGTAAATTCTCCAGAAAGACCCACCAGCTTAATGGGACCCTCTCAATTATCATACATTCCTCAGTAGGACCCACCAGACATTGTAAAGCTCTTAAATGAACCCCAATGTCCTTAGGTTTGCCATAAAGACCCCACCAGACATTGTAAAGCCTTATAAGGACTCCCAATATCCACACCATCTTCAAAAAGATCCACTATACAATTTGAATCCTTTACAGAAACATCAAAGTTCATAAATTCTCCATAAAGACTCACCAGCTTTAGAGGAATCCCCAATGCCCATCCCTTTTTCACAAAGACCCACCAGACAATGTGAAACCTTGCAGGAACCCCCAATGTTCATATAGTTTTTATAAAAACTCTACAATGTGAAGTACTTGAAGGAACCCCAGTGCTCAAATATTTTCCATAAAGATACATCAGCCTTACAGGAATCCCCAATGTACATGCATTCTTCATAAAAACCCACCAGCCAGTGTGAAGTCATACATGTATTCCCAATGTCCATAAATGTGTGAAAAAGAAACAGCCCACCAGACAATATGAAGCCATTACAGGAACCCTAAGCCTTCATAAAGAGCCATCAGCCTTTGGTGGAATCCCCCATGTCCATGCATTCCTTATAATGACCCACCACCAGCCTTACATACATTTCCACTGTCCATACTTTTTTCACAAAGATCCAACATTCTAAAGCCCTTAAGGGAAAAACAATGTTCCTAAATTAACCATAAAGACCCATAAGTCTCACAGGAGTCTCCCAAGTACATGTATTCTTCATAAAGACCCACCAGCCAGTGTGAAGCTTTACAGTACGGTACCCCAAAATATTCATGCATTCTTCTTAGAGACCCATTAGGCTGTGTGAAGCCTTACAGGAACTCTCAATGTCCATGCATTCCTCACAAAGACCCACCAACCATTGTGAAGCCTTATAGAATACCCATCAAGTTCTTCACTGCCACTATCCCAGCCATCACCATTCTACCACCAGCCAGATGTCTAGGGACTGAAAACATATATTCTAGTTGTAGTGAGTGGAAGATGATTAGAACTGTCCACTAGCTTCCAAAGAAGAGGCCATTGCTTAAAATAGCAGGTATTCGTCCCCGTGCTGTAGTGGTGAAAGATGGGAGTCTCACATTTATTGCTGAATGGTTCACTTATTTTTTTTGGGGGGGGGAGATTGTAGCTAGAGGAGCAAGACTACTGGTGGTGCAGAAGTAATTGTACACTACTGTGGCCATATCTGAGCTGAAAACACGGGTGGGAAAATCTTTACAAAAGGTTCAAGAAAGGTGTGTGTGGGAAATGGAAGGGGGAGTAACCCACCAGAATCTGCTCATAACAGATTTCAGCGATGACTCAACCAATTCTTTAAAAACGAACACAATAGCACATTTAATATAATTGCTGACGCTTAGATAGTATAATTGTCAGACGTTGGTTGTCCTTATGCTTGAGGTAAGTGTAATGCCCCATTTATTCAGGTATCTGGAAACTTCATTGCATAATACAAAAAAAGAGTAATGAGAGGCACACAAGTGAGACTTATGAGCAACTGGTTGGCCACTTAAGACTCACGAGCAACTGGTGAGGCATCCTAAAGCATCCTATTGAAGCTACAGGCAATTGTAATCATAGACATATGTTAGCAGTTAACACTGTGGTCTTGCAGTGGAGGGGTTCTGGTTTTAATGCCCAGCAAGTCTGCATCAACCTGGAGTTTGTTTTGTTGTGTGAGTGTCCACATTCCTCCCACAACCCAAAAACACACCAGAAGGTTACAAGAAACCTCTAAAGACAGTGGGCTTCCAATGCTGACGAGCTTCTGAAAATAACAGATCCTTGGCTGTCATGATGATCCATTGGCTTCAGTACTCTCAGAGTCAATGTGCACCAGTGTGCAGGTCAGAAGCTCCGACTTAAAGCCGCCAGTGCAGCTAATCAGTAACACTTTCCACACTCAAATCCCACCCACTGGGGGACAGATGGCAATTTAGAACACTGGGACCACCTCCCGATCATGCGACCACTGTGACAACCAATCATGGTGGTCATGCAGACCTTCCCGACCCCAGGTGCATGTTTTTTCAAGGTCAGAAAATCACAAAACCAGTGAATGTTGGGCAGTTTAGCATTTTAAGAATTTCAGGGTTTTTTTTTTTACCAGATGGGTCCTATTTTGCACTAGGGATATTAGACTGTAAGCTCCTGTGCTTAGGCTGGTGTGAACAGCTCAATGAACTATATGAAGCATTGGGGAACTGGTCAGCAGCATATAAATGAATACAAAAATGCACATAAGAATTGGATTTCACTGCTTTCCTTCCCTGCAGGCGGGTTTTGCATCCCTCTCTACATCCCGTATGTCCTGACCGGCCAATGGAAGTTCGGCAAAGGTTTGTGCAAGCTGTGGCTGGTCATGGATTATCTGCTGTGCACGGCGTCCGTTTTCAACATTGTCCTCATCAGCTACGACAGGTTCATCTCTGTCACCAAAGCGGTAAGTCATTAGTCCCTGCAGCTGAAGCTGCGCATGGCAACCAATCAGCTTCTAACTTCAGTTTGTTTAATTAAGCTTTGACAATAAAACCTGGAAGCCGATTGGTTTCTGGGCAGAGCTGCACCAGATTTTGCACTCTCCAGTCTTAGTAAATCACCCCGTGTGTGCAAAAGCATTGCCAACATTTAAAAAAAAAAATTTTTTTCTGATCTCAAACAGTTGTAAAATAAGTGTACTTTTTTAAAGTAGGGCGTATTTTAACCTCTTGTTGCCCGTGTAATGCATATGTGCGGCGGCAAAGAGTATGGGATTAATTGCCCGTGCAGTGCACAAATGCTTTCCAAGGGCTGGAGAGGTTTCCGTGCTGAGAAAGCGCTTACTGCACACTCCCACCTCGGTGACCGAGCTGTCAGAGATAGCTCCTGGTCTCTGTCACCTCTAGTAATGATCGGGAGCTGGAGGGATCAGCTTCTGCTCATGTAACAAATGTGACAGCAAGTCACAGTGGTCACGTGATCAGGCAGACCTTCCCGCCCCCCTGATGTAATAGCCCAGCTAAAGGGACACAAGTGCTGGATAGGAAGGGGTTCAGGTGTCTGCAGAGCCAAAACATTTTGTTGTCGTTGTTTTGGATAGATTTGAGATTACCATATACAGTATATATACACTATATTGCCAAAAGTATTGGGCCCGATTCAGATCTGCTCAGCTATTAGCGACTGAAGTAGCCACACTTGAGACTTAATTCTTTGAATTATACAATATGTCAGTTATTTAATATTATATAATATGTGTCTGTTAAGAGATAATTTCTCCTAACATTGGTTTTTTGTTTTCCAAAGGGACACGTGTTCATTGAGTGAAACCTGCTTGGCATAACTAATTTATTGATACAGGTCAGATAGCAAAACATTGTTCCTATATTAGGATTTGAAATAGAATTTGTAAACTGGGGCCAGACACAGTAATTGAAGTCTATGAGTTGGCCAACGCCATAAAAAGACCCAATGCACTCCTTTAGTGGCTGATATATTCCACTAAGAGCTCCCCCTTGTTGCTACATTTTTTTTATATTACAATATTGAATTTTACCTTGACCTTTACAGTAATGACTTAAAGATGAGGTCTTGGCAGATACACTATATTGCCAAAAGGTATAGGCCCCGCCCTCCAAATCATGTGATTCAGGTGTTCCAGTCACCTCCATGGACACAGGTGTATACAATCAAGCCCCTAGGCATGCAGACTGCTTCTACAAACATTGGTGAAAGAATGGGTCGCTCTCAGGAGCTCAGTGACTCCAAGCGTGGTCCCATGATAGGTGGCCACCTGTGCAATAAGTCCATCCGTGACATTTCCTGGCTACTAAATATTCCACGCTCAACTGTTAGTGGGATTATAACAAAGTGGAAGCAACTGGGAACAAAAGCCACTCAGCCACCAAGTGGTAGGCCACGTCACATGACAGAGCGGGGTCAGCACATGCTGAAGCGCACAGTGCGCAGAAGTTGCTAACTGTCTGCAGAGTCAATAGCTAAAGACCTCCAAACTTGGTGTGGCCTTCAGATGAGCCCAACAACAGTGCATAGAGAGCTTCATGGAATGGGTTTCCATGGCCAAGCAGCTGCATCCAAGCCTTACATCACCAAGTGCAATGCAAAGTGTCGGATGCCGTGGCGTAAAGCACGCCGCCACTGGACTCTAGAGCAGTGGACGTGTTCTCTGGAGTGACCAATCACACTTCTCTATCTGGAAATCCAACAGACGTGTCTGGGTTTGGTGGTTGCCAGAAGATTGCCTGACTGCATTGTGCCAAGTGTAAAGTTTGGTGGAGGGGGATTATTGTGTGGGGTTGTTCTTCAGAGGTTGGGCTTGGCCCCTTAGTTTCAGTGATGGGAACTCTTAAGGCGTCAGCATACCAAGACATTTTGGACAATTTCATGCTCCCAACTTTGTGGGAAGAGTTTGGGGATGGCCCCTTCCTGTTCCAACATGACTGCGCACCAAGGTCCATAAAGACATGGAGGAGCGAGTTTGGGGTGGAGGAACTTGACTGGCCTGCACAGAGTCCTGACCTCAACCCCATAGAACACCTTTGGGATGAATTAGAGCGGAGACTGCGAGCCAGGCCTCCTCCCCCGACATCAGTCCCTGACCTGACAAATGTGCTTCTGGAAGAATGGTCCAACCTTCCCATAGACACCCTCCTAAACCTTGTGGACGGCCTTCCCAGAAAAGTTGAAGCTGTTATAGCTGCAAAGGGCGGGGCCAACTTAATATTGAACCCTACGGACTAAAACTGGGGGGCCATTAAAGCTCATGTGTGTGGAAAGGCCGGCCGACCAATACTTTTGGCAATATAGTGTATAGTGTGCTCTATCACATGTCCTGGGGAGGAAGGGGGGTGGGTGCTTGAGGGGGGGGGTGTTGCATGGTACAAACAGGTGGTTGAGCATTGCCTCTTGAACATCTGCACTTCAGTATGCACTGACCCTGCTCTGTCATGTGACGTGGCCTACCACTTGGTGGCCGAGTTGCTGTTGTTCCCAGTTGCTTCCACTTTGTTATAATCCCACTAACAGTTGAGCGTGGAATATTTAGTAGCCAGGAAATGTCCCGGATGGACTTATTGCACAGGTGGCCACCTATCACGGGACCACGCTTGGAGTCACTGAGCTCCTGAGAGCGACCCATTCTTTCACCAATGTTTGTAGAAGCAGTCTGCATGCCTAGGGGCTTGATTGTATACACCTGTGACCATGGAGGGGATTGGAACACCTGAATCACATGATTTGGAGGGCTGACCCAATACTTTTGGCAATATAGTGTATCTGCCAAGACCTCATCTTTAAGTCATTACTGTAAAGGTCAAGGTAAAATTCAATATTGTAATATAAAAAAAAATGTAGCAACAAGGGGGAGCTCTTAGTGGAATATATCAGCCACTAAAGGAGTGCATTGGGTCTTTTTATGGCGTTGGCCAACTCATAGACTTCAATTACTGTGTCTGGCCCCAGTTTACAAATTCTATTTCAAATCCTAATATGGGAACAATGTTTTGCTATCTGACCTGTATCAATAAATTAGTTATGCCAAGCAGGTTTCACTCAATGAACACATGTCCCTTTGGAAAAACAAAAAACCAATGTTAGGAGAAATTATCTCTTAACAGACACATATTATATAATATTAAATAACTGACATATTGTATAATTCAAAGAATTAGGTCTCAAGTGTGGCTACTTCAGTCGCTAATAGCTGAGCAGATCTAAATCTGGGAAAAAAAAAAAAAACTCCATTTCCATGAATCATTAGCGGCTTTCCTGCCTGTGCTTCATGACAAATAGATCTGAGTCCTCCATTACCACGGAGCCTCCGGAGGACCTCTTCATGGAGCGAATTGCACCCTTTCAGTACAAGGCACATATCAGCCACTCTTACAAGTAGCATTGCAAAGAAAGACCTTGGCTTAACACGCTCTATAATTAAACATGTTTTACCGCTGCCAAAGGTGGTGGAGGGGCCTGTATTCCAGTCAATTATAGCATTAAGAGAGATGTTACAAACTGGCTGGCAAGCCCAATGCTTTTGCTAGTAACGTTGCTGCAGCAGGCATTTAAAAACCTCCCAGATGTTTAAAGGGGACCTGTCCTGAGATCTGTCATGGGGAGATCACCCACTGTTTGCCAGCACAGCCCTGGCCACATCGCAAAAAGAAATAGTGCTTACCAAAATTTTATTCTCAAAAGAAGTTACACTATAAAGTTGGGCTATTATCCCTCTACTGGTGGTTGACTACATCCCACCATCTTTGTCATTACCCTCTATGCCAGAGGTGTCAAACTCAATTTCACCAGCATTATGTTTGCCCTCAATGGGCCAGTTGTATCTGTAAGACTAGATGTCTAGAACACCCCCCCATATCAGAAGTCAAGAGTCCCCCACCCTCCCTTACATCACAGTGCACCCCCTTATATCTTGTGCTGTCGCTAGGAAGAAGCTGGAGGCGGAGCTGGGAAGCAGAAAGTACAGGGTCTGGAGGAGGACCAAAGGAGGGCCGATAGTCTGCTGCTGAAGTCTGCAGGGGAGGTGGAGACAAGGGGGTGCTGCAGCTGCACAGAGATGTGCAGAGTTTGTTGGAGGAGTTCTGTCCTCTCTGCTGCAGTTGCTGAGACAAAGGGTGGGGGGGGGGGGGTTGCAGAAATGAGCCTCTCTGTGGCTGCATGGAGAAGAGCAGGGTCTGGCAGAGGAGATCTGTCCTCCTCTCTTCTGTTGACTGCTGAAACAAGGTATTGACTGTTGCAGGAGAGGTCCGAGGGCCACATGAAATGGCTTGGAGGGCCAGATTTGGCCCACGGGACTTGTGTTTGACACCTGTGCTCTATGCTGTCCTTGGGAAAGTCACATGAGTGGCTGTGTTTCCAGCAGCTGAAGGTAGGAAACGACTATCCCAAAATGCTTTGCATCAAAAAAAGTTATGTGATCTCTCCCATTGCATGAATGGTATCAAACATACAGGAAGGAGGGCCCCAGACAAGAATTGGAAGCCAGATGCAATATATTGTTCACATTAAAGGAGTGCTAACATCATATTCACTGCATTAATCACTGACTTAAAATACTGTATTATTATTGCTGAAATATTTTTCTGACTTTGAAAATGTATTCATGTCCTCATTCCATCCCTGTAGCTGCAGCTGCTGTTTTGTAGTATGTCCAGTTCTACATAACAGCCAGCAGGGTGGTGATACTTCATCTTGTTGATACTGTAATTGCAAAACTACATCTGCCATGGTTCCTAGTAGTGCTCATAATCACTCTTCTATTATTCCCTCTGAGCCAGTTTGAAGGAACACATCCTTGGGCACCCTTTACATGTGCATGTTCCAGGGTGGGAGCTGGCCACTGAATGGTGTAGACTTTAGCTATGCAGTCTACTCCTAGACTGCCAAACTACATTCTATTAGATCTTCTTCTGAAACAGTAATCAAGCAACTGACCAGCAGAGCTCAGCAATGTCTGCACCATCCAGAGGTCAGAAAGTGAGAAATATGCTCATCTAAATGGATGCTAGAGATTTGTTCTTTTACATGGGCTCATCACTCATCATCACTTCCAATCTCTGCACTCAGTATAAAGTGAGATACAGAGAGAGCAGAATTAATTATATAAATTAATTGCAGATGGGGATCTCTGGAATTATTGTAAGACATTTATGGGGATATAATGTATGTAGAATTTTAAAGAAGCAGAATGAAACAATTACTTCAATCAAGTGATGTGACACTAAGGTGTGAACAGACACAATTGACATAATAGGAATCTTGATGTTGTGCACTGAAATGCTTCAGGAATCTGGGTTATTCACACATCGCAAGCATGCTAAAGTTAGGACGTTCACTCCATTTTTATCTTTGAAGTGGATTCTAATGTATTTATAACCAATAATACACAATACATTATTAATTGTACTTTTCACTCAAATTATAATTTTTGTATTTTCTTAGGTATCATACAGAGCTCAGAAAGGTATGACCAGAAATGCCGTCCTTAAAATGCTGTTCGTGTGGGTGGCAGCCTTTCTCCTCTATGGTCCTGCCATTATCAGCTGGGAATACATCGCACGTGCCACCATCTTACCAGAGGGTGAATGTTACGTGGAGTTTTATTACAACTGGTACTTTCTCATGATCGCCTCCACTGTGGAATTTTTCACACCCTTTATCAGCGTCACCTACTTCAACCTCAGCATCTACATTAACATCAAGAAGAGGACCAGGATGAGGAATGAGGAGCTGGCCCAAGGCCATGAGCACTGTGAGATGAGTTTCCAGAGGAAGAGGAAGGAACACTTAATATTTTTTGTCAAGCCAGCTGAGAGGCCTCACACGGAATGCAGAAAACAGGCCTCTTGCTTGACACCCACGGAGGTTTGCCCTGAAGAACCTAGACCTCAGAGGATCAAAGGCCACACATTGGACCTCAACATAAGTCAGGACCTTCCACCACTGCAGGTTGATGTCCAAACTAGAAAACACCAAGATTGCTTTTACAAAGCGGTGGAGAACGCTTGCACTAACGTCAGAACGGACGTGGCTAGTAGCATTGCCAACCGTTTTAGGCTTTCAAGAGACAAGAGGGTAGCCAAGTCGTTGGCCATCATTGTGTGCGTGTTTGGCCTTTGCTGGGCACCCTACACCCTCCTGATGATTATCAGGGCCGCTTGCCATGGGCGCTGTGTCCAACATTATCTTTATGAGATCTCATTTTGGCTACTGTGGGTAAATTCTGCCATCAATCCTGTACTGTACCCTCTCTGCCACATGAGTTTCCGAAAAGCCTTCATGAAACTACTGTGTCCGGGAAAAGTGAAAATACATCCCCATATTTTTATGTAGCTGTGATCTTGGTACTAAAATTCCAATACAATGGAATACAGAGATTTCCTTTTATGTCTTGGCTCACCTGAATGACCTCTGTTATTCAGGTTTCAATCGTTTTAGTGAAGCTGATTGACTAATGAGATAATTGGAACATATATATAAGACATTTGGTTGAAATGTCACAAGCTGAAGACTTGAGATTAATGTGTCCTGTCAACTCTAAGAGTATCTGACCTTTTGGTGAGCCAACAGTACAAGTGGATTATATAATGATCATGAGCCTAGCATGCTGAAGTGATATGTTGAAAGGCAACGGGGTTCACCTTGAGCCCTTCACTGTCCCATCTGCAATGGTCCACAATTTGAGAAACACTCTTATAGTGCATTCAAGCTCAACTGGGGCCTGACCTAAAATGGTGCTCAAATCCCCCCATCCCTGATGTTTTTCCAACTTTCCTGCAGAGCTGTAGTAGCCTCCAAAGCACATACTTTTACGTCCAGTGTTGTCCCTCTGCGTTCTGCTATTCAGGTGCTACACAGTGGGTCCCACACCACCATCTTGGTCCTCTTTAGCTGGCTACCTCTTCTGAGTGCAGGCAGCCAGCCATGATGACGAGCCGGACCCACCTCTCTTACTGCCGTCTGGACCACCCCCTGTCCGCTCAGTGTGCCGATCCTACAGCCTCCTGCAGGATGCGATGTAAGTATGCCAGGAGGCTGCAGAACCAGGGACACATCAGTCTGGCCTCGGCCAGAATAGTGGTGGGGAGTGAGGCTTTAAAATAAATAAATAAACATAGATTCCCTACAATTCTGCTTGTGGAGAAGAGGAGTTTTTGAGCAGAACTAACTTGCTTTTAGTTCTGCTTTTAATATTTTCAAGATAACAACAGTGCTGGAGTACCGGCACACCAATATTATTTGGTGATCTTACCATGAGTCCCCAATCACACCTGAATATTTGTGCACCTAAGCCTACGCACAGCAATGTTCAGCAATAGGAATGTGGAGTCCCATTCTTTTTAAGGCTGGTCACTTTTCTGCACTTAGTCTATTAAAGCTTGACCCCAAAACCTCGAAAAGGTGAAGCTTTTGGTGGAACTGTGTTGTGCATTTTTGGCCCCATAAACTTTAAAGAAGGGCATGTAAACAAGTGTGCGGTTTTGTGTCTGGGCCACTGCTCTCCTCCTCTCTCCAGGAGCTTGCATATATGTGCAAAAACCTTACAAAACACTTTAAAATAAAAGTCAGCAACCACAAATACTATAGGTGGTGACTTTCAAGAAACAGATACTTAACAGTCCATGGAGTCCAGCGTTGTCCTTCCCACGGCTCTCTGGTGCTGCCATCTTGGATTTGGGAGCTGGATGTGACTCATAGCCGGCTTCTCATTGCACACATTCAAGGCACAGCGGTGTGATGAGATGGGTTTTGAAGCCTCCTGGACCATGTGACATCGGCCAGGAGGCTGTGGGGATAGAGGGTGGTGGGCCAAGCACATGTCATTCACCTAGGTGAGAATGGTGGAAGTGGCAGTAGGTATCTGTTAAAAAACAGCACCCACTTAACCAAAAAGAAAAACCACAGCAAATAGGTTAGAGCCTGGGAGGAGAAAGAGGATGGCGCCATCTTTCCATTTTGGGTGAGGATCTGCTTTACGCATGCTTTCAGGAAGCCAAGCGAAGTGGGGGCTTCACCAATCAATGATGAGCACTAGTGGTCTAAAGAGCAAACTATGGGAGGGGCAGTGGCACAGAATTTTCAGAACTGCAAGCTCTAAAATGTGTTGTCAACCCACATAGACCATGAAGCCAGGGGCCGACTGACAACTCATGGGGCCCCCGGGCAATAGGTAATCATGGGGCCCCTGTGTCTTGCCCACACTCAAATCAAACCCAAAAAAGCCTATAAAAGGTACCAGGGGCATTTCAAGGGGTCCCCTACTGACCCCGGGCCCTCGGGCAGTGCCCGAGTGCTTGAATGGTCAGTCCGCCCCTGCATGAAGCACATACCGCAGCAGGCATGAAAGGAATCTCCTATACAGCGCCTATACTTTTTTAGCAGCGTATTCAGCTTTTCACTGGACATTTCCTTTCAAAACCCCCTTAAAAGACATAAAAACCTTGGTACCTTCTTCTGTTGACTTTTCTGAACATCCAGCACTTTCTTTTCATATTTTATTAGCAGTTGATTTTATGGACCTCATGCAGAGAAAATGTCTCAATACTGTGTACTTATAAAGGGCTTTATGTGTAAAAAAAAAAAAAAAAAGTAACAAATATATACTTTACTGACTGTCTGCAATTTATTTTTTCACAGTTTATTAAGATTTAAGTAAAAAATGCCTATAAATATATAAGGGGAAAAAAGCACGTGCCTTTTATTTTTGGTTAAATTGTGTTGTGGCTATGAGTGAGAAAAAGTCTGAATTTTTGCTTCGCCGAATATTTTGCTGAAAAGACAAGGCATGTTGGCTAAATGCATTGGTTTCAGTGGGAAGGGCAAATTCTTCTGGTTTCAAGTGTTTTTTTTTAAAGGTGCAATGGACATTAAAGTGTATTTAAACTCTAACAATAAATTTCTCTTCTTTGCTCCCTTTAAATATACAAATGAAAATGGAAAATTGTATCAAATACTGTAATTTTCTTTTCCTAGTGCCAATCCATGGCAGAGTACATGTGGTGGTATGCCGCCATGTTGGCGCCATGAATGTTATATCAGATACTTACCCTTTTTTCCCTTTCTGCCACCAATCCATGGCAGAGCACATGTGGTGGTATGCCGCCATGTGGGTGCCAAGACAATCATATCAAATACTTACCATTTTTTCCCTTTCTGCTGCCAATCCATGGCAGAGTACATGTGGTGGTATGCCGCCATGTTGGTGGCAGGAACGTTATATCAAATACCCTTTTTTCCCTTTCTGCCACCAATCCATGGCAGAGTACATGTGGTGGTATGCCGACATGTTGTTGCCAGGAAAATTATATCAAGTACTTACCCTTTTTTTTCCCTTTTTGCCGCCAATCAATGGCAGAGTACATGTAGTGGCATGCTGCCATGTTGGTGCCAGGAACATTATATCAAATACTTACCCTTTTTTACCTTTCTGCCACCAATCCATGGCAGCATACTACCACATACTGTCTATCTGTTTAACAAGTTGGAAAAAAAAAAAAAATATATATATATATATATATATATATATATATATATATTTATATATATATATATGTATATATATATACTGTTCATCCAGCCAGAAATCTTGTAAGCTGATAGATTCCCGTACTCTTTGCCTCTGGATGATTATCAGTTAACATTGTTCCCAGTTATCTCTGTGGACTACAAAATACCTCACCCTGTTATGGAGACCAGAGGGAGTTGCTTTGTAGTTCTAACTCAGTATTATGTAGTCCTAACACACTCCCTGTCCTAAGGTGACAACGCTACAATACTATGCAGTACGGTTGTCACCCCAGGATAGGAAGTGTGGTAATGGCAGAATAACCAGTTTAAAATTAAGTAAAAGAAAACTAATGCAGCCACCTAAGGGCCTGTAAGCTGCAATACTATTGATTTTTCATCTTGGGTTTAGATAAGTTTTAATTTGTTTCTGAGGATTAGGGAAGCTCCTTTAAAAGTTTTAGCATCAGGATTTGCATTTCATCTAAGGGCCCCTGTGTGACGATCTAGAAAAGTATCAAATCCAGTTACAATCTGAGGCACAAGCCTTCTAAAGCAAACAAAAATATTTAGTTGCCTTCCCTGAGTGAGCCAAATCCTCTTTGTTTGTATCTCATGCGCTCCCCCTCCCAGACACTGCAGCTCACAGCGGGAGGGTTTCAGCAGCAGAGGCAGTTGCATCAATCCAGAAAGCAGTGGGCAGGACTAGGTGTGGCCAGATGATGACTGACAAGCTACAGGTTTGGGAATAGGCAGTGACAACGTCACATTAGCCATGCCCCCTACAACCTTTTTTTTTTTCATTCCACCATAGTATGGGCAGGATTAGTGACAACTCTGCTTTGAATTCAGAAGCTGTGCAAGCTGTGTCACAGCATCAAGGGGATTTGCACGGGGTGGACTTCATTGGCAACAGGTTTTTTGTAGGACTTTGCAGATGGTATTATAATTAAGGGCTTCACACATATCTTTTTTTTCCAGATAATTTTTTATTAAAGTGTTACTAAACCCACAGCAGTACAATCAGTCTGTATATACAGTAAAGCATGCTTGTTATACTCACTGTGGAACCTAAGGGGTTAATCCTCTGCATTATGTAAAAATGCTGTTTGATCCTGTCTTCTCTGATCTTCTCCTTCTTTCAGTGTCCCCCTCTTATCTCCTGATTATCTCTGGTGGAGACCAGATATAATGAATGCTGGGTCCGGGGAGATAGGATAAAGTGAATGCGGGGTCTGGGGAGACCGGATATAGTGAATGCAGGGTCTGGGGAGACCAGATATAGTGAATGCAGGGTTCAGGGAGACAAGATATAGGGAATGCAGGTTCGGGGAGAGCGGATATAGGGAATGCAGGTCTGGGGAGACCAGATATAGTGAATGCAGGGTCCGGGGAGACCAGATATAGTGAAATGACCAGATATAGTGAATGCAGGTCCGGGGAGACCGGATATAGTGACTGCAGGGTCCGGGGAGAGCGGATATAGTGAATGCAGGCTCTGGGGAGACCGGATATAGTGAATGCAGGGTCCGGGGAGACCGGATATAGTGAATGCAGGGTTCGGGGAGACCAGATATAGTGAATGCAGAGTCCTGGGAGAGCAGATATAGTGAATGCAGGGTCCGGGGAGACCAGATATAGTGAATGCAGGGTCCGGGGAGAGCGGATATAGTGAATGCAGGGTCCGGGGAGAGCGGATATAGTGAATGCAGGGTTCGGGGAGACAAGATATAGTGAATGCAGAGTCCTGGGAGAGCGGAATAGGGTACGGGAAGACCGGGGTCAGGGGGGAGAGCGGATATAGTGAATGCAGGGTCCGGGGAGAGCGG